CTTTCTGGCCCACATGTGATAACGTCCATAGTAGCACTACTATTATTTCTTCCTAAATGGCACCTAATTTCTAACACAGTATCTCCCAGTGCAGAATGATGGACAGGTATTGTAAGAACAGAATCCTACACACCAACTTTCTTTCTACCTCCAGTGAAACAACACTTATTTATAAGAGAAGCAAGTGGTTAACAAATCCCAACTTAATGCATACCACCTTTTTATAATTTAATTTAATGCTAAACACAAACTAATTTTTTGAAAATTAATGGATACTATCTTCTTTATAATTTAACCATCCAAACAGACTCTTATGAGAGCCAGTGTAGTTTGAGCATTGGACTATAACCCTGGTGATCAGGGTTCGAATCCACAGTTGGCAATGGAAACCCACTGGGTCACCTTGGGTGAGTCACATACTCTCAGCTCCAGAAAACCCTATGATAGGGTTGCCTTAGGGTTGCCATAAGTCAGAAATGACTTGAAGGCATATAACAACAACAGGCCTTTATAGGTTGTTTCAGTTGTACTGCTAAACACAAACTAAATTTTGGAAATTAATGTATGCCACCTTCTTTATAATTTAACCATTCAGACAGACTCTTATGAGAGCCAGTGTAGTTTGAGCACTGGACTATAACCCTGGTGATCAGGATTCAAATCCACAATTGGCAATGGAAACCTATTGTGTCACCTTGGGTGAGTCACATACTCACAGCCCCAGAAAACCCTATGATAGGGTCACCTTAGGGTTGCCATAAGTGAGAAACAACTTCAAGGCACACAACAATAACAACAACAGACCTTTATAGGTTGTTTCAGTTGTACTGTTAAACACAAACTAAATTTTTAAAATAGTCTGTCTCAACCAACTGGAAGCTTGTGGCTTTCATTTAACACAGTATTTCTCTTTCAGAGCTTTATATGTGATGATCTGAATATGAGTACACAAAATTGTTACTGCTGGATAATGCTTGAACCTCTTAATTCATGAGCAGGTTAATTAGAATGCATATATTTGCTGTTCTATGAATTGTAGAGTATTGGAGGGAAAGAGGGAATCTGAAAGTATAACCAATAAAAATAGTCTAGCCACAAAAATTGCTTAGCCTATAAAAATAACTAAGACCTATTTTTAAAAAAAGTTTATTATTTCACAAAATAGTGGTTATTTTTTCAGTTTCACTTGTCATTGATACAAATCAAATATTTGGCAATCTTGGAGTTTACAGATAACAAAACATATTCAAGTGCAATTTGGTACATATTTGCATCTTAATAAAAGGAAATTTTAAAAAGTGAAAGAGAATGGCCTAAATGCTGTCGTTAGTCCTGACTAGAATAGACCCATTCAATTAATGGGTCATTAATGACTCATTATTCAACAATTGATTATAGGTTTACTTTAGTTGGGACTAACCAACTAGATACTAGCCACAATTTTTTAATGTTTTATCACAGCAAATGCTGTGTTATAATTTTGAAAGCGAATGTTGTCCTGTTCAAGAAAATTCCTCCAGGTTTATGAAAGGATCATAGATTGTCCCATGTTCTTATCATGCATATAGCATAGCTTTCATATATTGTTCAAAAGCAGAGCAAGTTCTTGGGAAGAGAATAAGGTTGTGCTCATATATTCTTTCACCTTTAACCTCCCCACAGTCACAAGAAGATGATCAGTAGAATTTGATTCTGTTTTTAATAATTGAAATTTGTTGTTATGTCTGAGCTAGAACAAGCTGTGTTTTGTCTTAAATATGGTTTACTTGAACATACCAGCATCAAACCACTGTTTATCTAAACAAGTCAGAATTGTAAATCAGAGTTAAAACTAGTTAAACTTAAGTGAAAAGGAGCTAATAATGGCTAAAATCCTGTTGGTTATTTGCAACTAGAGTTGACCAATTGGATAATTTGTTGAATGGTAAGTCGACATGTAGACAGAGCCAATAGATTCAGTGGGTCTACTCTAGGTGAGACTAATGACAAGATTCAGGGCAATGTTATTTGTAGGATTTAATGTTGACTCTCCATAGACCAAAATAAGGATAACTGTAACAATCAAAACTAAATTCTTCACACATATTTAGTCTTGGAAAACCTAGAAATATGTAATAAATGTACTTGGGATCAAGGCCTTATAGTGATTATGACCTTTCTGTACTATAAGGTTTCAGTTAGCCAGATAAAAACACCCACTAATAATTTTAAAGCTGGACCATCTGTTATCTTCCCATTAAAAATCATTTTAAGAGTAATTTCATATGGCAGTTTTAGGCCTAAATTTACTGCTGTTAAATGTACTCCTAAATCAGGAGTGAGAATCTTGTGGCCTTCCCAATGAAGGACTGCAAATCCCACCTGAAAAATACAGGTGGTACAGTCCAGCAACATCTGGGGGGCCAGACAATTTCCAGTACTTCTCTAAAGCAAGTGTTGAACAGAACATTATGACAGTTTTAAAAATACATCACATAATTTTTTTCTGGAGCATGGAAATATTGCTGAACATTTTCCATAATTAATTCAAAATTAGATACATGGACATGTGAACATTTAATTACCAGGCAGCAGTTTCTCTGTCTTAGGTTTACTTATACACAACTTTAGCACCAGATAAGACAATTCAAGTACATTTAACAGCATACAGATGCCTGAAACGGCCAGCATGAATATGGTAAATACAGTTTTCTCAGTGGGTCGGGAAATAAAGCAGTCCACTGTATTTGGACAAGGAAAGTTGCTGCATTTTACTACATAAGGCATTTTGTACCCTCTATACATGTAATAAAACATATACATGAAGACAGCTTCAAAGATGATTCGGAAGAAGATGCTGCT